ACACAGTCCCACATGGTACTTGCAGACTGGACTTAGTGAGACTGGGACTGGGTACCGCTGACTCAGCACAGGTGGACTCCACCACTTGCCCACTTTCCTGGACTGCTGTGAACAACGTTTAAAGGGCCACTTCCGGAGCTTCCGGAAGCCTGTAGACTTGGCCCTTCGACACTGTAGCAGCTACGACCTTGACCTTTCAGAAATTCTACAGCTACGACTTCTAGAACTCACTAAGACTCCTACCCGACAGGTCTACAGATCGAACCCCTATGACCTACAGACCTACGGCAGCCTACCAACTGCTGCGAACACACAGGTCACGGGTTCAACTCTCGGGGTCGACACAGGTAAGGTGAGGACTAGGGATCGAGCCCTGCGATCTGCATTTGCTACTGCTAACAGGTGAATACCGTTTCACGGAAAAGGAATAGATTCAGGACCTTTCCAGACCCGATTGCAAAGTCGTTTCGAGAAACATATATGGAAATGGAATTTCCAGAAAGCAGGGTCTCTTCACAGAGCGACCACAAAAACCGTTTCGCAAAAATGGATTTTCAGAAACGATTCAAAAGTTTTGGCATACACGGAAACAGAAAATTTTGAGCGCAAGATTGACCTGACTGCAGCAAATGCTTCGAAGAATCCTGACATTCACAGAAAAGAAAGGAAAATCCCAAGAAAGGGGTTTCAAAGCTACGGACGCACTTTGACAAAATTGAAAATTCCTATTTGCACACACCCTCATTCATCGTTCAAGACCCCAGTATTTTACAATTCCGGGGTACAGTCTGGAAAAACTCTCTCCAGCTCGATCCTACCATTTTCCAGGTCGGTGAGTCTCACAGGCATCACAGACAAACACAACTGCACAGAGACACAGAGAGAGAGAGAGAGAGAGAGAGAGAGAGAGAGAGAGAGAGAGAGAGAGAGAGAGAGAGAGAGAGAGAATAACATGCTCCGTTTTTCTTTTTTTTGGCATTGGCTCGTTGACGCATTGATTTATTGAGAGAGAGAGAGGGAGAACGAAAGAGACACAGAGGCACACAGAAAGAAAGCGTGAAAGAGAAGAAAATAATTGACATCATGAGAGAGACGAGGTGCAATGCGGGTCCACTTGTATCTTTTACAAAGGAAGGGGGCAAGGGAGGTCAGAGTCAAGGGGGACAGAGGGGGGAAGCCGTGCACAATGTGTTTGTCCCCACTTCTTCTATGGTGCTTGTATAAAGATTCCCGGTCCAATCCACCTCTCAACCCACCTCACCCTGTTTTTCCATATTCTTGCAGTTAGGGAAAAATTTTATGTACAACAGAGCACTTGAGAACTGACATTTCATCTATTCTTTCCTGGTCCAGAAATTGATGGTAGGTGATCAAATATACATAAATCAGTAAATACCGCATGCATTAGAAGCCTGAGAGCCCGACCAACTTGTTGTCTATATTTATCATCATCTCAGCTGCAGTGGCATATTCTGAAGAACGAACAGGAAAATTTTCAAAATCTCACACAAGGTGAATGAGGGTCTCAGGTAACCTTACCTTCAATCGTCAGGACACCCAGCCCAGGGGGTGAGATATCCAGCATGACGGTCCATCCATTTGGGATAAGCACGTCCCATCCCTCTTGAGGCATCTGTCCATTGGTCTTGGCATTTGGATCCAACCAAGTGGCTGGGTCTGACCAGAGTAGTATTCCGGCACGGAATGCAAACAGCCCTGAGTCGACTGGGCATCCACTGTCAGGGCATTGGTGCCTGACCATCTGAACATGTGCATCAGAATCACCAGCAATGAGAATAGTAAGGCCGGTGTCATTTTGAGGTCCACTGTAAGTTCCATCGTAGAAGTACGAACCATGTGGGTCCAGCGGTGTGGGAAGCTGTGCCAAAGATTTTACCTCCTTCCCACGAGTGTAGACATGGAAGTGATCAGGGACACGTGCCTGCCTTGAAATAATCATCAGAAATTCGTTCTTCGAGGGCCGCAATGAGGGGGAAATCCTGAACCCAGATGGATCGAGCCGTCCCAGACGGACCCATGTGAAGTTGAAAGATCTCGCTGTGGGAAGCATAAAGCCATATGCTTCATGAGACCATGGCACTTGCATGTCTCTTGTAGCACCGTCTTTTACAGTGCGGATGTTCAGCAATCGTGGAACAAGACCAGAAGGTGATATGTCAGTCATCTTCACTGAGCGGAAAGTGACCCCTCTATGGCAGATGGAGGCTGCATTATAGATCGGACTGGGAAGGTCTCGGCACTCACTGGGGAAAAGAATATCGCTCTTGGCTAGCACATATGTTGAAGGAGTGTCGTGCAGTGTCCCATCTGTGTCCATATATGCTCCCGCATTTGGCCACGAAAAATTTAGCTTACGTGTGGTGTTTATGAACTTGAACTGAGCCACTGATGTTGTGTATCCAACCTGCACATTGCCGTTTAGCAAGCAACAACAATATTCACATCATATATTCACAGCCAGTGATACGCCCTCACTAATGCTGAGTGGGATGGAACATCATGATGTAAGTTCTTTCTTATCTCGTCTTCTGTTTTGTCTTCAACCACCAGCTCTGGAACCTATTTTCTCGAACCTAGCAAACAAATTGAACTGGTCGGAGGTAGGCTGGTACATTGAAAGCTTGGCCTGCATGTGCATGCCCAAAAGCTTTTGAGGAGGGTACTACGACTGTTTCCCCGCCCATCATATTTCATTCAGATTGTATTGCTGACTGAGATTTGAGTCCATCAGTCAAGTCTTTTTCTTGTGTCTTTTTGCTTTTGGTTCTTGTTTTGTGTTGTGTAATGAACCCAGTCTGATAGATACTCAGAAGTCGTCAATTACAAGTAGTCTCAGTATCTGCATCAGAGTCTCCGAATCGTGAAATGATAAATCAAACAATAACTCATTACCATCTGATGAAGAGAGTGGAGGGGAATCAGACAGAAGAGAAGGTGGAAGAGATCACAAAAGAATAAACCCGTCAAACCCCTCTCCTTCTCCGGGCTTAATCCCTCTCCACCTCAACAACCAGAAGATGATAACAAGTATAGGTGTCCTGATTACACACAGTAGTGCCACATGGCACTTTATCTCATGAAGACCCTGAAGTCACGGCAGATTTTCCAGCGACGACGTCAGTTACAGGTGAGTACCCGATTCCCTACATCCACAGATCCCGATCTTCCTCTTCCCTTGCAACCAGTCACGTCATGTAGACAGCGTGGACAATGCCACGTCAGCAATCAAGACAGGTGGCAAACACCACATCATCAATGAAGACCATTAGCAGCGCCACGTAGACCAGGAGCAGCGCCACATATACGAGAGGCAGCGCCACATATACGAGAGGCAGCGCCACATATACAAGAGGCAGCGCCACGTCAGCATGCCACGTAGACCAGAGGCAGCGCTACATATACCAGAGGCAGCGCTACGTATACCAGAGGCAGCACCACGTCAGCATGCCACGTAGACCAGAGGCTGCGCCACGTCAGCATGCCACGTAGACCAGAGGCAGCACCACATCAGCATGCCACCTCAGCAAGCCTGGCGTACAATGCCAGCGTGCTGCCTCCACCTCGTGTCGTCATCCGCAGCACTGATGCACAGCCAGCGTCACGCTAGCATAATGCCAGCGTCTAGTCAAAGTCAAGCCAGCGTCGAACCAGCATAGCAAGACTGAATGCTGGACTTGCTCGAGGCCAGCCTTATGTAACAGTCGTCGAGGCTGTCTGGCCTCGGGTGCCTTTCCTCCAGTCGTCCAGATTGACTCACATCTCAAGGCCCAGATTGTACAGTTGCAGACTTCTCCCTTGGACCTGATGTTGTCTGGGTACCTGCATACAAACAAATGTGTGTGCTTGACCTGTGGCCTGGGCTAGGTGCCTTTGGACTTTGACTGTTGGGTGGACCGACAGTTCATCGAAGTCAACTATCACACGCCCAGGCCCTGAAATTGTGAAGGGCCTTTTCTGCCCTTATTTGGCCTGGGTTGAGGGCGACCAAGTAGGCCTTCTGATGGCCCTCAGTTTCACGAGACATATGGCATGGGTTATTGCATTCCTGCCGTCCCAGTTTTCGAGTTCCATCGCAAAAAATACATCATTTCTCAGTTAACCCACGTTCATATGCCGCAACAATGTCAGGAGCAATAGGTAGAAGTTCTTTCCTACTAAACCATCTAGCTTCAGATGGGGGTTGGGATTTGAACGTTACCTTCTACTGCTTCTGAGGTCGTCCTCTGCCACCTGTAGAAAAATAGCCATGTTCCAATTTTCTCAACTTCGTATCCTTCGTTCATAGAAGGTGGAAACATAGATGGCCTATTTGGAAAATTATCACTTTCTACATACGGTAGCAGTTTAGACGCATGGAAGACAGGGTATGTCCTGAGGTGTGGAGGTATATCTATATGATAGGAAGGTCCATCTTCACCTCCAATTACTTTAAGAACTTCCCAGGGCCCATAGTAGACAGGTAGCAGTTTTTTAGACACGTTTTCTTCCAAGGAAAACTCTTTAGACTTAACCCAGACAAAGTCCCTTTCCTGAAGTTGTGAAGGATGATGATGTTTATTAGCTTGTTCAATCATTTGCAGTTGGGCTTTCTGTATGTTTTCCTTCACTTTCCTAATGTCTTCTTATACAAAACTGCGAATTATCGTGTTCCTGGGGGTAGCCTCTGAATCTGGTCCCTGGTTAACGCATCAATGGGACGCTTAGGCTTCTAACCTTTATGTAGTGCATTTGGCGTTCTTCCTGTAACAGTATGTATACTGTTGTTATATGCACTAGCAATTTTCGGCAAGTTCTCATCCCAATCAATCTAGTCAGGACGGACACTCAGTTTGGCCATTCGTTTCAAGATGCCTGCCTGACGACATGGTCAACCGGGTTCCATAGACTTCCATCAACTTTTGTCATTGCAGACTAGTAATCCGAACATCTCTGTCAGATACGATGGTTTTAGGAAATTCATACTCAGAGACACATCGCATTTGAAACTTTTGGATGACTAGTTCGGTTCTTGCTTCCGCAGGTAAAGGAACGAACATGGTGTACTTAGAGAATCTATCAACGATGACCATTACCTGACTGTTGTCGTATCAACTCTTAATGAGGCTCATGAAGTCAATAGAGATAGACTCACCTGACTCACTTGGAATAGGTAGCGGTTTCAGTAGTCCCATTGGATTCTCATGTGAGGGTTTGTTCCTCTGACAGACAAGACAAGTCAGCACATACGTTAGTACATCTTCCTTCATTCCTTTCCCCTCAAAACGTTCTCGTACATCGGCATACGTCTTCTTGAAACCAAAGTGACCTTCCGCATCATGGCATTCCCCAATGATCAAACTCTTAATTGGTTCTAGGTGAGGAATACACAATCGTTCTTCAGTTTTGTCCAACAGGAAGAGTAAACCATCAATCATTCGATATTCTGGAAATAACTCAGGGTTCTTTCGTAGAGTTCCAAAGATAAGACTCCAAATACGATCACTCTGGCGGATTTGTTCTTTCAATTCATTTCCAATACCGAGATATGAGACAATAGTTCCAAAGAAATCTGCACGTCTGGACAAAGCATCCGCAACCATGTTAGACTTACCTTTGATGGTTTTCATCTCAAAGTCAAATGTATCACGGAATGCGGACCACCTTACCAACTTGTCAGAGAGTCTAGGCTGAGTCTTGATCCACTTCAATGTAGAGTGATCAGAATAGACACTGAAATGTCTTCCTAACAAGTAGTGTTTCCAGGTATCTAGTGCAGCTACTAAGGCATACAGTTCCCTTTCATACGTAGAGTTGACTACTTTTTTCTAACGGAAGTCTTCTTGACATAAACTCAACAGGTCTATATCCTTTACTGTCATCCTGCTGTAACACAACCCCAATCCCATACTAACTTGCGTCAGTCGTGATAATGAAAGGAAGCGAAGGGTCAACAATCTTTAGGACAGGGTAGTGAGTCAGAGTATGTTTTAACTTTTGAAATGATGACTCATAGTTTTTGTCCCACAACCAAGGTTTTTCCTTTTTCAACAGTCTCCTCATACGAGCGGCTATCAAAGAGAAGTTTCTAACGAACTTCCTATAATAGCTAGCTAGTCCGAAGAAAAACCTTAGTTCAGTTATAGTCTTAGGTTGTGGCCAATCTCTGATTGTTGTAATCTTCTTTTCTTCAGGCCTTAATCCTTCTTCGTTTACTATATGCCCTAGTTACAAAACTTCAGGCTTAGCAAACTTTGACTTCTTCAGATTCAGTTTGAAGTTGCCCTCACGCAACTCCTGCAAGACCATTCGTAGGTGTTTTCAATGATCCTCTAGTGCTTTGCTATACACTAGAATGTCGTCGAGATAGACTATTACGAATTGGTCAAGCCACTGACAAAATAACTCATTCATTGACCTTTGGAAGATCGCAGGTGCATTGGTCAGATCGAAAGGCATAACCACGAACTCGTAGTGACCATACCTGGTTCGGAAAGTCGTTTTGTGTTGATCCTCAGGAGCTACCTCAATTTGGTGGCATCCTGACTTAAGATCAATTTTACTGAAATACATGCACCCTTGCAACTGATCCAATAAATCATCTATGCGCGGAAGAGGTTCCGCGTTTTTAACAGTGACGGAATTCGGCCTGCGATAATCAATACATAAGCGAAGTTCACCTTCCTTTTTGGGTACGAATAAGACAGGTGCACCATAAGGAGATGCGCTAGGGCGAATCCATCCTTTGTCAGTAAGTTCCTGCAGTTGTTTTCGTAATTCCTCAAGTTCTCTTGGAGACATACGGTAAATAGGGCCCTTGGGAATCTTACTTCCGGGAATGATCTCGATTGTGTGCTTGATAGCACGCTCAGTAATTCCCGTTGGTTCAGACTGCAAGTCCTTGTATTCGTCAAGAAGTTTTTCAATAGAAGGTGGGTAGGATGAAGAACACTCACCTACTTGTTTAACAAGCACCTTCATCACCTCCTGATCTAACTTCTTCTTAACGACCATAGATCGGAAAGCTGGATAACTCATACAACAAAAAGACAAAGTAGAGTCCGAGCCAGACCTATGATATAACTTTATTGCACGTAGTTCGGATTTCTCGTCCTTGAGTTTGACAATTTTATCTTTGAACTTAACTTCTGGGTCGGCTTCCTCATGCCAATCCATACCCAGAATTAAGTCAAAGGGTAAATTCTTCTCTATAAGGAAGGATACCTCGTGTAGAATCTTTTTACCTTCCTTGGTTCTGAAATAAGACTTAACACGATCGACGTATCGAGAGACAGTGATCGTGCTCTTGTCAGCCAGTATAGACATGATAGGTCTAGGTAAATCCGTTACCTTCATTCCCAGATGCAACTTTCGAATTGCCTTCTCTGAGATATAAGACCGCATCGATCCCGGATCTAACAGGGCATCTACTCGCGTGTGCGCAATCTCAACATTTGTGATCATTAACTCACCCTTAGATTTTGCTTTCTTGCCCACGAACTCCTTAGTGCTATTAGTTCATTGCCGAGTTCGTCAAGGGAATCGCCCAGTGAGACAGATGAAAGGACTGTGTCAGGGTGGTCTGAACGACGGGCGAAAAAAGAGACATCCTTTGTCGTGAGAGTCGAAGGGGTAGAAGGGGTTGTAGGCGCCTTACCTTTTTCTTCGTCTATACCCTTCGACTCAGTAGGAGCAAATGGTACTCCTACTGGCTGCTCGCTTTTGGGTTACGAATAAGCGGGCACTGGCGGTTGTCCATCTTGGACTGCCATTCCTCTCGGGTCATATTCATTTTCTCCCAAGGCCTCCCGAATGCTATTCCGGGATGCTCAGGGAACGAGCGTGGCCTCTTCTTCTTCCACTGAGTCTGGCCTCCCTTGTTGGCTATCACGGCGGTGACATTACCCTTCCCAGATTCACTGCCACTGTTACCTCCTCCTCCCTCAGATTCACCAAGAGGTAACTTCTCTACCATTTCATCGTCAAATAACACAAGCATATGGTCCTGGCGCTTTTGTCACCAAAGGACCCGCTTGCCGTACCCTCCTACCGGTCCTGACTTAACCACCGAAGACCCTTTTACCTGCGCGGCCATCTGCTCTCGTTGGAGAGCGAGATCGCAAAATTGCTAATAGTTATACTTACCCGACTTTGATTTGGCCACGAGCTGTCCACGAATGGGCTCGGGCAGTGCACGTGAGTAGATGTGGAGAACCTGGTTGTCCTGAAGGTTCAGTCCAGATACCTGCAACAGACGATCCACTTCACGAGACAAGGCATCAACAGAAGTCCGTCGTTTTTGGCCTATAGTGGTGAGTTCATCGAAAGTCTTATCGACAATCGTTTTGTCAAGGAATCTCTCCTTGATTTTCTGGAGAAATTGCCTCAATGTCAGGGTCTTAGACCGCTCACCTATGTCCTCAAAGCCAGCGGCGTTGGCTTCGGCCATCACCCATTCCTTGGCCACTCCTCCCAGACAAGACGTGGAGAAAGCAACCTGACTTTCAGGCTCAACGGGTGTAGTGCTACAATAAGTCTGTATTTCGGCGATCCACAGTTTCCTTTTTGTTGTTGTAGGTAAACAACAATTTCATCTTAACCTTTTTTTTCTTTTTCGGTTTTTCCGCTTCCTTAGGTGGTTCTTCTTTCTTGTCGGTCGGTGCTTCTTTCTTGGCCGGTTCTTCAGACTCCTTCCTTGAGGGTCCGGCTTTGTCCTCCTTTCGCATTGCATCTCTCAACTTGTCCTGGGGTGGTTTCCTATCTTCGCCCTTCTTCTCCTCCTCAATACTTACCTTATCCTTTCCTTTTGTCAATCTCAACATAGTTTCCAATGAGATAGTGTTGGAGTCTATCATCTTTTCAAGGTGAATGAGATAAGCCATGATAGATTGCAATACAGTTGACAGATCCGTCTCAACTTCCCCGAAGCAAAACCGTTCTCTCAGTTCTTCCAACATCCTTTCCTGCTGTTCTTTTTCTTCTTTCCTCCTCCGGTACTCCTCAATCTTCTTTGTCTCTTCTTCTAAAGATTTTTCTAATTGTCTGATGTTCTCCTCCATTATCTCTACAAACAATTCCTTTCTTTCCTTTCTTTCTCCTTCCTTATCTTTTCTTTTCTGGTCCAGTTTCTCTAAGTGCTCGGCGACATAACGATCAAGAGCAATACGCCCTTGCCTTATGAGATCATCGACCCTTCTGTCGGTTTCCATCATTTGAACAGCAGTTTCAACGACATGAAGTTCACCCTTTGCAACTTGCAGGTTGAATTGTCCGTGAACACGCTATTGAGCGTCCCGACCAACACCATGTATCTCACCAAGCAACTGACGAAGAAGGCCCTTCAGAGTTTGCCTTCTCGCGTCAATCTGACCACGCGTCTTAAGTCCCCCCCCCTCGGCATCAGCATAGACCATGAGAGGGATAGAGAAGAAGAGAAGTGGAATGAACCGCGTCAGGATGGAGGCACGCAGACATTTCCAGAGAGAGTTCATTTTGCCCGCGTGTATTTACTGCACAATAAATAAAATTAAAAGACAAAAATAAATTCCACAGTACACGCGTCTTCTACAGTAACTTACAGCAAGAAATTGTCAGAAGAAACAGATTTCCAAGTCTTTCCTGAGTTCTAACTTTGCTGTCTATTCGTTGTGATGACACTCTCCACTACAGGTACCGCGGCCACGGCCAATGTGATCAAGATAACAGCACAAGAGTAAGTATGCACAGCATCCACATACAATCTATAGCTGAGTAGAGCCAATACATAACACAATCAATGGTTAGTTCTTTTCTCAATCATCTGCAGCAGCAATACAACTCAAGTGCACATTCACACTTTAAACAATCCTTACGCATGCCACGTGTCACCCCTGGCCTGCCAACACAGCAACTCAAAGAGTCTGCCACGTCAGCAAATCAAGGACCCGATAGGTCTACAAGGAGGGATGCCACGTCACAATGCAGGTCTGCCTTCCACCAATATATCAAGTCGGCCCATCAATAGCAAGCAATAACAGGTACGTGCCATGTCAGACCATGCCCTGCATGCCACATAGCAATGTGCCACATCAGCAGTACCAGCGCCACGTCAGCCTGTTGCCAACGCAACTCTTCAATCTTCAGCGTAGCCTTGTGATCATCTCCAAGGGATGGCTGCTCGCAAGTGCGCTATTACCATGTCTAGACTTGTGGTATGACCGCGCGCGTTAATAAACACGTTTCATATTGCACATGCGACACCTCCCACTTACCTGGGTGCCACGTCAGCACCTGACAGCTGATAGCAGATCGTGATGAAGAGTTGCTCCGATACCAAATTGTAATGAACCCAGTCTAGTAGATACTCAGAAGTCGTCAATTACAGGTAGTCTCAGTATCTGCATCAGGGTCTCTGAATCGTGAAATGATAAATCAAACAATAACTCATTACCATTTGACGAAGAGAGTGGAGGGGAATCAGACAGAAGAGAAGGTGGAAAAGATCACAAAAGAATAAACCCGTCAAACCCCTCTCCTTCTCCAAGCTTCTTCCCTCTCCACCTCAACAACCAGAAGATGATAACAAGTATAGGAGTCCTGATTACACACAGTAGTGCCACGCGACACTTTATCTCATGAAGACCCTGAAGTCATGACATATTTTCCAGCGACGACGTCAATTACAGGTGAGTACCCAATTCCCTACATCCACAGATCCCGATCTTCCTCTTCCCTTGCAACCAGTCACCTCATGTAGACAACGTGGACAATGCCACGTCAGCAATCAAGACAGGTGGCAAACACCACATCATCAATGAAGACCATTAGCAGCGCCATGTAGACCAGGAGCAGCGCCACATATACGAGAGGCAACGCCACATATACCAGAGGCAGCGCCACGTCAGCATGCCACGTAGACCAGAGGCAGCGCTACATATACCAGAGGCAGTGCCACGTATACCAGAGGCAGCGCCATGTCAGCATGCCACGTAGACCAGAGGCAGCGCCACATCAGCATGTCACCTCAGCAAGCCTGGCGTACAATGCCAGCGTGCTGCCTCCACCTCGTGTCGTCATCCACAGCACTGATGCACAGCCAGCGTCTAGCCAGCGTCGCGCTAGCATAATGCCAGCGTCTAGTCAAAGTCAAGCCAGCGTCGAACCAGCATAGCAAGACTGAATGATGGACAGTCGTCGAGGCTGTCTGGCCTCGGGTGCCTTTCCTCCAGTCGTCCAGATTGACTCACATCTCAAGGCCCGGATTGTACAGTTGCAGACTTCTCCCTTGGACCTGATGTTGTCTGGGTACCTGCATACAAACAAATGTGTGTGCTTGACCTGCGGCCTGGGCTAGGTACCTTTGGACTTTGACTGTTGGGTGGACCGACAGTTGACCGAAGTCAACTGTCACACGCCAAGGCCCTGAAATTGTGAAGGGCCTTTTCTGCCCTTATTTGGCCTGGGCTGAGGGCGGCCAAGTAGGCCTTCTGATGGCCCTCAGTTCCATGAGACATATGGCATGGGTTATTGCAGTTGTCTTGAGTCACTGGAGACTTGACATTGGTACCACAGGAGTTCAGCTGCCTGGCTCGAGATCTGAGATTCATTGGTGGAGAGCGCTTGGAGGTTGAGGGGAGAGAGGCAGAGGAGAGTATTATTATTTGACGTTGCCATACATTGGGTCTTCTTCTTTTTCCTTCCATCTCCCCTTTCATGTGTGTATGATTGTACTGGGGACGTTTTTCTATTATTGGGGGGACCCCTCCGCCGGTGTGAGATCAGATCTGAGCCACATTGTCATTTTGCTGCACCGTCAGTCAGTCCTATCAGACTTGAGTCGTCTTCTGTGTCACATTCCATCTCTTCCTCACATAGGTGATCCTTGAACTTACATTGCTGGCTGTTCGTTCACGCCGGCAATGCATGACATATAGAATCAACCCACTCGACACCCCTCCTTTAGTCCAGGAGTCCATCACCCAGTTGTAAAGGAAAGGCCCCACATTGCTTAGTCCTGGATCCAGCTCTTGGTATACCAAGCACATAAGAAGAAGCTGCAACGAAGTGGGGGATGCAGCAAACACACTGCCCCAGTACTAAGCGTTCTCCAAGGGTAGCCAAGGTGCCAGCTTGAGACACCTGGTTGCTGCTATAAGAGCTGGCTCTGTAAGGACCTGCCAAACATGGACTGAGACGCACAGCTGATTTCTGAGTTTTGCCAATGGAATGAATGGCATTCGTTTTTCATTTTGTATTGTATGTTCTCGTTTTGTTGATGGGCCCATAAGAGGTCACGGGCTGCTTCACAAGTAGAGTGCTGAGATTTCCGTTTGTAGCTGAGTTTTCTCAGTCTGTGTGTGTGCATGCTTGTTGTCTGCATGCCTGTCTGAGTGCTTGTCGGCTTGAGTGTGTGTGTGACCCGCAAGGGTACCCGTTTGTTCAGGAGGTCCGAGGGGCCGGTACTTGCCTGTGGCCGTGACTTTGAGGGTTGCAGCGGGTAAAACACTCAAGTGGCGGGAGTAGGCCTGCGACGCTTAGAGCAGCGGGGAAAAACACTCAAGTAGCAGGTAGGCCGGTACCACAGTGACCACGCCAAGTAGCGGTGGATGTGTTGGGTACTCGAGGCCAAGTAGAAGAAGGCAAAAGTTGCCATTTTTTAGAGGCCCAGTAGTTGTAGGCTAGGTCTAGGCGGGTACCAGTCCAAGTTGTCTGAGTCTAGGTCCAGAGTCTGCAATGATGTTTCCCTCCGAAAGGGAGGAGGTACCGGTTGCTTGAAGGTCGTGCGGCCTGGAAGTCACTGAGGCAAGCAGGCCGGTATATCTCCAGGAGGAGCGAAGTGCTCCTCCTCGTTCTATGGTGTGCAAGAATGGCAACACACTGGTTGGAGCGCTGGCTGGAGCAGTGCTGAAGTTAGCAGCGCTGCTGAGGGAAGGAGCGCCCAGCTCCCTCCACCATGGCTATGGTGGTGGAGCTCAGGCTGGAGGAGGAGGAAGACAAGGACTAGGAAGGGAGAGTGCCAGAGGTGTTTACCTGGCTATGGTGGACGCCGTCTACGTCACCTTGGTGGACGTTGCATCTGGAAGGCCCCGCTGGGGTAGAGCTGCACCAAGAAGCTTCGAGGCAGTGTCAGAAATGGAGGCCTGAGTAAGAGCAGCCATAGCTGCTTTGTGTTGTCCTTTGCACAGCAGGGCAAGACCCTGGTAGTCTGCCATAGCCTTGGCCTATGAAGAGGAAGGAGAACAGTGGCCATGGCTTTGGTGGACCTCATGTTGTGCCTGCAGTAGAAGAGGGATTCAGACATTGGTTCTGGTTCAGCCATTCGACATTGTTATTATTATTTATTGTGAAATAAAGAGGGGAGTAGAAAAGGAGGAGGAGAGTGGTTGGCGAGGAGAAGGGAATTATCATTGGTCTTTGCTGGTGTACGTAATACACATTTCGGAAAAACTGAACCTTTTTCAAAAAAGTGAACTATTTTGAATGTGAATTAATACTTCGTACATGGGCCGATAGGGCATTATGCGGCACTTTAAGTGAGGCTAAATGGTCTGTATATGTGGTGTTGATGGTGTGAATGGTGTGGCGGGGCGTTTCGAGCCCTTCGTACATGAATGATCGTTATTAAATGCGAATTAATAGAGTCACTGAGTGTATAAAATGGGTTCCCGTAGAGGATTATGAGGGGGCCTGTGTGGTTGGATATAGTGAACCCTTAGAGAAGGCTTCTTCGGCGGAACAGACAATGTCACGCTCCTGGCTAGGTGCAAGGAAGGACACTGCACGACATAAACGGGCAGGGGCTCTTTGTACGACATCTTGGCAATGTTGTCCTGGCTAGGGGCAAGGAACGACTGTCACATAGGTCAATATAAAAGGGCAGGGGCTATCTGTACGACAATTTGTTGTGTATGAGGTGGACGGTGCGGCGGGACATAGTGGAACCTTCGTTCATTGTAGGGTCCTTTGTTAGAACAGACATACTGAGTCTTCGAACTAGGCGCAAGCTATGACCGTCGCATTGCACGACATAAAAAGGCAGGGGTCCGACGCCTGACACCTTGCTAGTTGATGGACTAAACCCGTCAACTTGCAACTTGTCGGGCGGAACACCCTGCTAGGTGCACTGATCAACCCGCAGCGGGGCAGGGCTTTATGACGTTTGTCCTGAGCTCCAACTTGGGGTGCCATTTACCACGCACAAATGCACATGAGTTCGCACTTATGGTTATTCAATCGAGAGTTTAACCTTCTTACGCAAACACTAAGAGACTGAGTTTGTGGAATGAAAGTAGCACTGATAGGGAAGTTCAACCTTTATGCTGGGTCTGGATGTCTTTCACTGATAGTGGTTGTGTTGTCGCGCGTTCAATGTGTGTGTGTGTGTTTGTGTGTGTGTGTGTGTGTGTGTGTGTGTGTGTGTGTGTGTGTGTGAGAGAGAGAGAGAGAGAGAGAGAGAGAGAGAGAGA